ATCCCCGGGTCCCGGGCCACGCATTTTTAGCAACTACTCCACGCAGATTTTGCTGTTATGTAAGAGCAACTTACGTATGTGTCTCTCATTGCTGAGCCGCAGATAGAAGGGGAATATTTTTCCTCAGCTTGGGACTTTTTTCTCTTAATTTGGCGTATAGATGACTAACGGGGAAATTTGGAGTGTCTGACTGCATTACAGGAAGCATCTCGACCAACTTTTTGACACAATTCATCACCATACAGTTGTAAGAGTAAAATGATTTGTCAAGGTAGGCTTACAAAATTTCATGTATTGAGCTGTAAACATGTCCACTCAGGGCTTGACACTAACTTTTTTCACAAGGAGCACATGTTTTCCAAAGTTGAAAAAGTAAGGAGCACACAAAGAACTTAAGGGGCACAATGAAAATTGATCAAATAATGTTTGTCTTATTGGTCGACATAAGTACTATTTGAAATCAATATTTAAGTCTTTTGGTCACGACATGGACAAATTACGGCAATAAAGAGGTGTGTCTTATTGGTCGACATAAGTATTATTGTTTGAAATCTATTTTAGGTTAATTGGTCATATGACATGAAAGCTATGGAAGGTGTGATGCCCCTATAGGTTCATGCTGCTGTGGGAAGTGTGTCTGGTTGGCTTCTCTCTGCACCCTAATCAGAGCAAGTACACACACCTGGGCCCTGGGTGCTGGGAGTTTTTAAGCTCCCACAGTTACTTGCAAGGCCCTCTTTTGTGTCTCCTGACTGCCTTTAAAGGTACTCGGTTTGACTTGGTTTGGTTTGGTTTGGCTTATCTTGACTTAGTTTGGTTTGGTTTGGCTTATGTTGACTAAGTTTGGTTTGGTTTGGCTCTGTTTGGTTTGGCCTGGCTTTGTTTAGCTTGTCTTGGCTTGTTTTGACTTAGTTTGGTTTGGTTTGGCTTTGGTTGTTTCGGTTCGGTTTGGTTTGGCTTGGCTTTGTTTGATTTGGTTTGACTTGGATTAGCTTTTCTTGACTTAGATCGGATTGGTTTGGCTTTATTTGGTTTGGCTTTGGTTGGTTCGGTTTGGTTTGGCCTGGCTTTGTTTAGCTTTTCTTGGCTTGTTTTGACTTAGTTTGGGTTGGTTTGGCTTTTCCAAGGTCATCAACCGCTAATTTATTGATGGTCCCTTCAACACCTGATGTTGACAGCGAGGATGTCGAGTAGATTTAACCGTGCTGTCGATCATGGAGAGTGAGAAGACACCGGTAGATCCGCAGTGAATGTCCGTTGAATATCCAACCTAAAACTAACTTCACCGCGGTATTTACATGAAAAAACATTTGCTGCCTCTGCTAATTTTTTTTGCGCACGTGTGCCCCAAATACATTTTACAATTCGCACACATCTATTTTTAGCCGCAAATGCAAGCCGAATGGTCGCATTGTTGAGCCCTGCCACTTGTGTCGGGTTTTAGTGAAAGTTTCCTTTGCTCAAATGGACATCGATGAACTGCAGGTTTTTGCGATTCAAACTCTTTTTGAGTCCACAATACTTAAATTCGCTCAACCAGAGGGCTCTTAGCTCTTCCACAAGCTCCAGGAAGTAAGATCTCACCTCTCCTTCCTTTTCAGAGCACATATAAAGAGTATAATTAAGGAGCAGCGGCACAGACATCCAGCAGGTTTTTTTTGTACTGAAGCTGTTACCGGTTTTCACATGAGCATCTTGGCATTTTCCCAGAAAGCCTGTTCTTACGGACTCTTTTCGTTCTACTTTTGGATACTGTTTAACTTGAACAGAGCTAAGAGTAGAAACCTTTTCTACATTTCCTGCTGTGATTTCCTCATAGCAGCTATTCCAGCTGTGGTGATCCACTGAGCCTTTCACAAACCAAATTTAATATAAAAAAATCAACACTCTAAAGGTCCTTAGACACCTGGAGCATTTCCTTTGTGCGATTATTTCGGAAATCAATATTTTTTTTCGAACCTGTATCTTGTCAATACAAGCGTTCACATCAGCGACATTTTGCTGCCCTGCGATATTGCGGCATTTATTTTTTCGTATCGCAGTCGAATTTTCTAAAGTTTCGCATACTGTGTGTTCACTTCTGACCAATCAGATTTCGTGTTGTTGCGATGTCAGATTCACTGGTATATCAGACACGGCCGACCATTTTTTTCCCCCTTGAAAGTCGCAAAATCGCATCACGCTTGATGTGTGTAGTCAGGCGCATCAAAATTTGCCTCTGAATATTTCGTAATTTCGCGTCGTATATTTGCGTCGGTCCCTGTGTGTAAGGACCTTTTAAACAGGTAAAAATAAAGCCAAAGTTTGGGAAAAGAGAAGCAGGAGATAACAACGTCAGGAGAAAAAATACATAAATAAAATAGAGGATTGGTTAAAGGTAATTATTGATTTATATATAGAATGGAGAAGCTGACTTTCTCATCTAGACTAAAAACAAAAAATTGTAAAAACTACTGGGAAAACTGGGTTGATTTTGTGTCTTAATTGAGAGCAGACTTTGTGCAGTAAGAGCATTGTGTATTTTAGATTATTGACAGTCTTGGTTCAGGCTACAAACTTGTTCATTGGTAATATGTTTATTATGTTTACCCTCTCTTGCATTGTCGGAGAAAATCGACAATGCAAGAGGTGTGAAAAAAGGACATGAGTTAAAAGTGTTTCATTTCACTAATAAAAAAAAAAAAATAATAATACATTTTATTTGAAGCGCCTTTCACGTCACTCAAGGACACTTTACAGAACATATAAAAACAATAATAAAACACTTTTAACAATTAAAATCATTAATCATCAAACAGTTAAAATCAACAAAGCAACATTAAAACATGAACAACAGCAAAGGAATAAATAAAGAAATGAATAATAGCAATTGAAATTTAATTTAAAAAAGTGAGTTAGGGGTGGTGGGAGGGATAGGCCAGTTTAAACAGGTGTGTCTTGAGTTTGGACTTGAAGAGGGGGAGAGAGTCTATGTTGCGGATGTGTGATGGTAAAGAGTTCCAGAGTCGGGGGGCAGAGCGACTGAAAGCTCTGCCCCCCATAGTGCTGAGGTGAACAGGCGGCACAGTGAGGTGGAGAGAGGAAGAGGACCGGAGGCGGCGTGATGGAGTGGCGATGTGGAGGAGGTCAGATAGGTAGGGAGGGGCGAGGTTGTGGATGGCTTTAAAGGTATACAGTAGGATTTTGAACTGGATTCGTAGAGGGACCGGGAGCCAGTGAAGCTGCTGTAGGATGGGGGTGATGTGGTGGGACGAAGGGGTTTTGGTGATGATCCGGGCAGCGGAGTTGTGGACCAGTTGAAGTTTATGGAGAGACGTGTTAGGGAGACCGAACAGGAGAGAGTTGCAGTAGTCCAGACGGGAGGTGACGAGACTGTGGACAAGGATGGAGGTGGTGTTGGGGGAGAGGGAGGGACGGAGACGATTGATGTGGCGGAGGTGGAAGTAGGCAGTGCGAGTGGTAAGGCTGATGTGGGATTTAAAAGAAAGAGTACTGTCAAGGACGACACCCAGACTCTTGACCTGAGGTGAGGGGGAAACTGAGGAACTGTCGATGGGAAGGGAGAGACTGTCAACTTTGGATAGGGTGAATTTGGAACCTACGAGAAGAATTTCTGTTTTCTGACTGTTTAATTGGAGAAAGTTGGCGGTGAACCAAGATTTAATTTCGGATAGGCAGGTGATGAGGGAGGTGGGTGGGAGGGTGGAGTTTGGTGAGCTGGAGAGGTAGAGCTGGGTGTCGTTCGCGTAGCAGTGATATTGAATGTTGAATTTATGGAAGATGGAACCAAGGGGGAGGACGTAGGTGATGAACAGCAGGGGCCCCAGGACAGAGCCCTGGGGCACACCTGAACTGACTGGGGAGGGGTTGGACTTGAATGATTTGAGCTGGATGAACTGTGTGTGGTCTGAGAGGTAAGAGTGGAACCAGCGGAGGGAAGTGTGGGTGATGCCGATGGAGGAGAGTCTATGGAGGAGGATGGGATGGGAGATGGTGTCGAAGGCTGCACTAAGGTCGAGGAGGATGAGGATGGAAAGTGAACCGGAGTCAGCTGCAGTGAGAAGGTCGTTGGTAATTTTTAGCAGTGCGGTTTCGGTGCTGTGGCGGGGGCGAAAACCAGATTGGAAGGGGTCGTAGAGGGAGTTCTGGGTTAGGTGGGTGTGAAGTTGGCTGGCGACGACCTTTTCCATTATTTTGGCTATCAATGGTAGATTGGAGATGGGGCGAAGGGTTGTTGAAGTTATTGGGGTCAGAGCCAGGTTTTTTCAGGATAGGGGTGATGGCTGCTGTCTTGAGGGATGCGGGAACAGTTCCAGTAGTGAGTGAGGAGTGAATGATGGCAGATATGAGAGGGAGCACAGATGGGAGGCATGATTTGACCAGTGTGGTGGGAAGGGGATCCAGCTGACAGGTTGAGGGTTTGGATTTCTGGATGAGATCATAGATTTCAGAGTCGTTGGGGAGAAGAAAACTGGAGAAGAGCTGGTGGTGTGGCAGGGGAGTTGGTGGGTTCGGAGGGGGTCCAGGGGGGAGAGAACCTGAGTGTAGTTGTTGGTGGATGTTGGAGATTTTGTCATTAAAAAACTGCATTAGGGTGTTGCAGGTGTCGGTTGAATACAGGTGGGGAGGGAGGGAGTCCGGTGGCTGGAGAGATTTGTTGAGGAGAGTGAATAGTGATCTGGTGTTTCCTTTGTTGGAGATGATCTGGGCGGAGTAGTGGTCTGTTTTTGCGTGAGAAATTGAGTCCTTGTAGCAGCGGATGTAGTTAGTGTACATTTCAGTTTTCTTGTAAAGTCTTTCCAGTTGGCGGCCTTTGGTTTTCATGGAGCGGAGGTGGGGGGTGTACCAGGGTGCAGTTGTGGAGAAGGAAACAGAGCGTGTTTTGAGTGGAGCGAGGGAGTTGAGGATGTTATTTAAACAGGTGTTGCAATGGGATGTTATGTCATCAGGGGTAGCTCTGGTTTAGCCTTGGGTTTTGCTCCCAGCCTTGTCGAGGAGACATCGGGGAAGAGGGATGGATGAGCAGGCGGAGGAGAGGTGGTCACAGCAGCCGGGGGAGAGGTGTTGGGAGCGGCGGGGTCTGGATCTGACGAGCCGGTGGAGTCGGGATGTGGTGTTCTGAAGACGATGGTGTCCATGAGTTTCTCGGCTTCCTGGATCTGGTAGAGAGTGGAGATCCTTCGCTCCAGCTCCTGGATCTTTTCCGCCAGACAGGCGCAGCTGGCACAGCCGGGTGGAGAGGAGTGTGGAGCCATGGCTGAAACAGAGAAAACAACAGCCAGCAGACAGCCAACAACACCAGGCAGGATCTAATAGAGGACAGTCTGGATCGGGGATTGGACTGTGCCGAGAAGGACACTTACACGCCAGGGCTCCGTCCTGGAGCCCGCAGCGGTGAGGAAGCAGATCAGACAACACAGGAGAAGACTTACCGGCGAGGGCCCCCTGAAGAGGGCCCGCTGTTGGTGGAAATCTCAGGTAAGTCTCTCTTGCGGCGTTCCAGCCGTGGTCGATGTGACCGGGGGTATTTTATTTAATCTGTGTGGATATTGGTCGATCGGTGTAGCCGGATAGATGCCCTGGGTATCTGCAGTCAATCTGTTAGAGTCGTCTGTTAAAGTAGCTGGACTCCACACGGCGCCGCCATCTTCGTCCGTAAGATTTCCAAATAAGGCTTTCGTCTTCTCTTGAAATGTGGGGACCTCTCGGACAAAATATCATTAAGCTCGCTGCAGTTAAATGGGTAAATGTATGGCGTAGAAATGGACAGTATTTCCCACTTTATCGTATTTCATTCGTCAGCTCGGTGGGCACATTCGCACTCCTTCTTATAGAGCCAACAGCTCACACTACAATATACAGCAACAGTTATTCCAGTTATTCCACTGTAACTTTACTTAATAAATTTATGTCTGGCTATGTCTCTGCTCCATGGTGGAGAAGTATGCAAAAATTATATACAGTTGGAAATTTGTTCAGTACATATGTAAAATGACGAAATATTGATATGTGAAATCAACGAAAAAGAAAATAAAAAAAATAATAAAGCCAAAGATAGAAAAAAAGTTTCTTCTTTGATTGGCGCTTTCCAGTTGGCGGCCTTTGGTTTCCATGGAGCGGAGGTGGGGGGTGTACCAGGGTGCAGTTGTGGAGAAGGAAACAGAGCATGTTTTGAGTGGAGCGAGGGAGTTGAGGATGTTATTTAAACAGGTGTTGCAATGGGATGTTATGTCATCAGGGGTAGCTCTGGTTTAGCCTTGGGTTTTGCTCCCAGCCTTGTCGAGGAGACATGGGGGAAGAGGCATGGATGAGCAGCCATCATGGCCGATGTGACCGGGGGTATTTTATTTAATCTGTGTGGATATTGGTCGATCGGTGTAGCCGGATAGATGCCCTGGGTATCTGCAGTCAATCTGTTAGAGTAGCTGGACTCCACACGCCGCCGCCATCTTCGTCCGTAAGATTTCCAAATAAGGCTTTCGTCTTCTCTTGAAATGTGGGGACCTCTCGGACAAAATATCCTTAAGCTCGCTGCAGTTAAATGGGCAAATGTATGGCGTAGAAATGGACTGTATTTCCCATCGTATTTCATTCGTCAGCTCGGTGGGCACATTCGCACTCCTTCTTATAGAGCCAACAGCTCACACTACAATATACAGCAACAGTTATTCCAGTTATTCCACTGTAACTTTACTTAATAAATTTATGTCTGGCTATGTCTCTGCTCCATGGTGGAAAAGTATGCAAATATTATATACAGTTGGAAATTTGTTCAGTATATATGTAAAATGACGAAATATTGATATGTGAAATCAACGAAAAAGAAAATAAAAAAAAATAATAAAGCCAAAGATAGAAAAAAAGTTTCTTCTTTGATTGGCGCTCGAGTCATGAAGATATCTCTCAGTCTGAATGATGAATTTGGATCACCTGGCCCCCTTATGCACCATTTTGACCATCATCCACTTTCAACCCTTTTTATTTTTTTCTCAAACCTGTTTCTTTGTGCTGTCAGTCCAGGTTGCTGCCTGCTGCGCTGGCTGGCTGACCAATCATTGGCTTTTAAACACTTGGACGAGTGTGTGTCAAAGTGATGGAAAGAGAATAATTATATTTTTCAAAAACACAAGAGGGGGTTTGGCTGATTTTAATTTTTTTCCTTTTACTCTTGTATTTTGCCACAGTGCTGATATTGTTGTGCTGATTCATTTCTTTATAAAAACGTTAACCTGGCCTATGGAGCTTTTATTAATCACACAGGCAGGTTTTTTTTTTTTTTCTAAGTACACAATATATCATGATTATATTCCTGGATAACTAGGCTGTTGCTGACTACAGCTTGCTTGCTCTAACTTAAAGGGGCACTTCACTGATTGTAAATGTCAGAGTGAATTTATGGTGAGTATAGGAGCAGTACACCTCCAGTAAAACCTGTTGTGTTATATCATCCGAGGCCTTGCAGGAACAGAAAAGTCCTCAAAGATGGTGAAATTTCAGATTGAATCGAGCAGCGCGATAACTGCAGGTATGCATTTAGACAGATTGTGGCATTATGGGAAGTGTAGGATGTCTCCTTTTAGAGGGGCTCAAATGACTTTGTAGTTTCCTTTCTGTAATCACTTCTTTGGAGCTCTGGGTTTCTGCGAACAGTCGCTCACCAAACACACTATTTGTCTCTTTCAAACATCGCCAACCAACTCTTGCAGAGATGATTTGTTATTTGTACTTTCTCAGTCCCCCATCATGTTCACCAGCTCGGAGATGTTGCTGGACTTTATCTGCGCTTTTTTGGTTCTAACAATGCCACCTGTCACTGTGACCAGAAAAAGGCTGAACATGCTATGTCCTCATGTGCTCAAATACCAATAAACTCATTGAAAGCTAAACATGAAGTCAAAAACTCTGCAGGGGTAACCTAAAGCCACACATAAGCCCGGCGTTTAACTCTAAAGCGTCACATCATCTCTTGAAATGTTTGTTCAGCGCCTGCGACACAAAGCGCGTTCAACTGCAAACCAACAGGGCCGTGAACGATGAAACAAGCTGCGTTTTTACATTGACATTTCACACTGACAACCTTCCATTAGTCAAACAGACACACACCGGATGATTAGGGATCCCTTTTTTTTTTTTTTGGATGTGTTTAATTTTGTGCTTTAGTGCCATGTTCTCGCAGATCAGGCGTGCCGCTGAGATGAAAGTAAATTTACCAAATTTCCATCCAAAATAAATGAAAAACACTCTCCTCTTTAAATCCACCTTTTTATTTCATTAACGCCGCCTAATCTTTCATTTCAAACACCTGTTGTTTGCTCTGGAAAGTGGCCCCACGTTGGTGTGCTTAGAGGGGCAAGACGACAAATCCAATTTCAATGAAAGGAGCACTCTGCTCACACTTCCCCCCTCTGACTCACTATTCATACAGCCCTTCAAAAATACTCCTTTTTCCTGTCATTTCTGGAAGTTTCCTCCCACTGATGTGGCATTCCATACTGTTCATTTGCCATTGCATTAATAATTTTAGTAAGTTTCCACTTTTTTTTAATTCAAGTATGCATGTGACATAAATGTTGTAGATAACACTGCATTGAAAAGGTTTGAGAGAAGGTCAACATTTGGTTTTTGTTTTGGAGGTTGGTTTTTTAGTCATTTTCAAATTGTGAGTTTTGTAATGTAGGTTTGTTACTAGGTGTGCCCTGGTACAACTTTTTTACTCCCGATACCGATATTGTGGCCTTCAGTATTAGCCAATACCGATATTGATCCGATATTGGCACAAACTTGCACATGACAAGTTTTGCACTCAGTTGTAATGTCTTTTCAAACTTTAACGAAAGATACTGTCACATTTCCGACATCACTCCTACTCCTCGCTACTTTGTTTAGTACTAAGTACACACTGTTGTTGACATTATGTGGGCTCTGCATGCTGGATCCGGGCTCTGTTAGTGGCTAAACCTACAGGATCCAGAACGGCTCAGCTCCAGACCGGCAGGCGGATCAGATCCGCAAGCATGCAAGATCCAATCTGCCACCATCGGAGGAGAGGCGCTAGCGAGATTACTGATATTTCTCACGAGACTGGACGAGATCTCACAAGCTCTCATGTGTTTCCCCGGGAGTCATAGAAAGATCCGCCGATCAATCAATCAATCAATCAGCTTTATTTCTATAGCACATTTAAAAGAACCACGGGGGTAGCCAAAGTGCTGTACATTGTGAGATAAAAACAAATAAAACAAGCAAAGAACAAGATAGAGCGAGCAAAAATACATAAATGCTATAAATAAATAAATATATAAGCAGGCTCACGGCAAGTGCTAAGATGAAAACAAACAAAATAACACTAAAATGTATTAAAAGCCAAGGAATAAAAGTGTGTTTTTAAAGGGGCGATTGGTGTATGTAAACAGTGGTGTTTATATACACCACCCACATCCCACAACCCTGGCCTCTCCTGTTATCAAGTTAAGAACAGTTCAATGTATTGACTTTATTCTGTTTTAAAAATTAACTGGATACTTTACCTGTAACCGCATACAACTTCCGCTGCTGCTTGTGCTGTGCTAAACTGAATTGATGCGCTGTGCTCTGGCATCCGGCAAAAATAGAAGCCTCGCGTATCTGATCGGGCATCCGCAGCGGAGCCGAATGAATTCCGTGGAATGACGGAGCGGAGCAGAGCCGTCCCGGATCCTGTGGGTTTTGCCAGTTAGATAGAGATGCTGGAGCGGAGTCTGGAAGGGACTGCGTGTATCGGAGTACTGATGTCAGAGATTTTAGATGAAGGCCAATATAATCCGATATCCTTTTTTTGGGCTGATATTGGACAGATATCCGATATGATTTGTCATGTGTGCCATTGGTGCCCTTGGTCTCAATCCATGTTGTTGGGTTCTTGTACCTGCTATTGGGTTCACATCCCATTTGGCTAATTATATTTTGGTTTCAATGTTGATTTTGTTATTTGTTGGGTGGATTTTTATGCTGTTGGGTTTTCAGCTGGTTTGAGTTCATTGGCTTTCTCAACTCAACTCAACTTTATTTGTTAAGCACTTTAAAACAACCACAGCTAAACAAAGTGCTGTACATAACTAGACAATAAAAAAACAACATAAAAAACAATTAAAAAAACAATTAAAACAATGGATAAAATAAAAGCAGAATTAAATAGTAAAATATAGTTTCGATGTTTTTAAAAACTAATTTAAAAACGTAGAAACAAATAACTAAAAACAAACCATAAAACACTAAA